AAATTTACACAGATTACAACAACAAAGTTACGAACTTGCACCATTTCAACAAGCTAAAAGATAAGCAGTTGGCTTCAGTTGCAAATATTTAAGCACGGAGGCGAACATGTACATGTATTAGCACAGATTTTTAGTAAGCAACTTACGTCATCGCTATTCGCTTTCGCTTTAAGCGTTATTGAAAACATCTGCTATATGTATATTTTTTTTTTTTAGATTCTGTTGCGAAAAGGAGAACTTAATTACTCAGACGTATCAATTCAATATAACCATATCGCTAAGGCAGAATAATTAATCATGATTCACGTCGGCGAGAATTCTTGGAATCTGCGGATTTTTATTACAGATCTACGCATTGAGAAGACCTTGCGTGTACGTGGTGATCAACATATAGGAGGAATAATGCTTCAGTTGGTTGAACCAGAAAATCCTAAAGATTGGTCAGATCATGCTCTTTGGTGGCCTGCAAAGAATGTTTGGTTGACGCGAACACGTTCTACTTTAGATCAAGTGGGTGTCCATGCCGACTGTGTACTCCATTTCACGCCAATGCATAAGACTTTAAGAGTTCAGTTACCGGATCTTCGTTACTTGGACTGTAGGGTGGATTTCTCTATTAAAACATTTGCTTCAGTAGTCAATTTATGTAAAGCACTTGATATTCGATATCCTGAAGAACTGTCATTTTGCAAACCTATCGAGTCAGACCATCTTAAAAAGAATTATTCAAAGCTACCGCAAAAACCTATACCCGTACCGGATCCGGATGGAACGACATACCTGCATCCTGCTCCGGATACAAATTCGTTTATCCCCATAAATTCAGCCTTCAACGGTAGTAACAGTAGCCTTGATAATCACCAAAATGAGAACTTTTTGTGTGCTCCAGTTTCCCCCTATACACCCCGTCGGGGTCCCAGTGGCACTGCTCCAAGCACACCAATCAGCTCCCCAACTGGTACATGGAAACAAAGTAACAATGGATATACAACAATTGATTCATCTTCCAGTCTTGGGGACATTCAAGAAAATTTGGCTTTCTCTCCCAGATCCCCGAGTCCAGATGTACGTGCAAGACTTTTACGTCCGCGCTCTTTAATAGAAAAAGCACGCATGAATGTAGGTTGGTTGGACTCATCTCTTTCCATAATGGAACAAGGTATTCGTGAATATGACACCCTCTCTCTGCGTTTTAAATATTACACATTTTTCGACATAAACCCAAAATACGATCAGGTGCGAATAAATCAATTGTACGAACAGGCGAAATGGTCTATCTTAAATGAGGAACTCGAGAGCACTGAAGAAGAATCACTCATGTTTGCTGCCCTCCAGTTTCAAATAAATTACCAAGCTGATTCACATTCAACCAGCCTTGACGTGGTAGATACTGGCAATGGCGATAATGGGACATACGATGATATTGATACAGCACTTAACGAATTGCAAATAACATTAGAAGGCCCAAATTCTTCTACAGAAGTCAACAATATCACAAAAATTCCAGAACTTTCAGATTATTTGAGATTTCTTAAACCCCGCAAATTTACCTTGAGAGGTTATAAACGATATTTCTTTGCTTATCGGGATCTCCATCTTCATTTATATAAAACCGCCGATGATTCACGTCGGGGAGCTCCGGAATTGACAATAAACTTGCGAGGATGCGAAGTAACTCCTGATGTAAATTTAGCTCAGGGAAAATTTTCCATTCGTTTGGAAGTGTCTCCAGAGGGTCATAGCGGTCCAAACAGCGAGGTATGGATACGTTGCGACACAGAAGAGCAGTATGCAAGGTGGATGGCTGCCTGTCGGCTAGCATCAAAAGGCCGTTCTCTGGCTGACAGCTCTTACGAAAATGAGGTTACCAGTATTCGGTCCTTCCTTAGCATGCAGAAACCAGTACAGGGAGTGGCCGTTAATGTAGACCCACGAAGTATTGATGCCAATGACTACTTGTCGCCGAGAATGCTGCGAAAAATGTCTGGTAAGGCATCACAACGAATTTTGGAAGCTCATGCAAATGTACGTAAGTTGGCATTGTTAGAGGCAAAGCTAAAATATATTGAAGCCTGGAAGTCATTGCCTGATTTTGGAGTAACCCTGTTTGTTATTAAATTTGATGGACATAAGAAGGAAGAGCTCCTTGGTGTAGCCCATAACCGAATCATGCGAATGGATCTTAACTCGGGTGATCACATTAAAACGTGGCGATACAACACGATGAAGGCCTGGAATGTTAATTGGGGTATAAAGTGTATGATGATACAATTCCATGACGAAACCGTTGTGTTCTCCTGTCAGTCGGCAGATTGCAAAGTCGTTCATGAGTTTATTGGCGGGTACATATTTATGTCAATGCGCTCAAAGGAAAATAATCAAACTTTAAATGAAGAACTCTTTCACAAATTAACCGGTGGATGGGCCTAAAATAGGAAATGTAGTCGTCATCCAGTTTCAGGAATACATATGTATGTATATTATGACAACACTTACAGTCTGTTGATGACTTTAAATGCACAAAAAAAAATGTTTGTAAAACGAAAAAATTTATTTTTCGGTTATTCGAAAAGGACATATATATATTTTATAATTGATTATGAAATAGTATGTAACGTACCATGGTAACCTTTATGAACACTGAATAATATTCGTTTTACTGGATTACGCTGCGTTTTGTTCCGGTATGCCTGCCTATATGCCATCTTAAGGTATAAAAAAAGATCTAAAGCCAAACTAAATTAATTCGATGATTGAAATATGTATTTCTGAGGTGCCTTACTATAAAGTTTGTATTTAAAGTCTTCGTGCCTCTTATGCTGTACAACTCTTTTTCTAACATATTACCAGTTCTAAGAGCTCGTGCCTATCGAAAAAGTGCAAAAAAGCTAAAGTATATGTATCTAAAATTTTAACAATTTATACACTAATTTTTTAAACAAAATACTTAAACGTTCAAATGGAAAATATACTTGTATTATTTTAATTAAATATTGTTTATAACTATGTGTTATATCTCGAAATAACTAATAAATTCTGTTTTTTATCTCTATGTATGTAAAATTGTAGCAATGACGTCAGAAAACGAAGCACCCATTTAAATTGTTGATGCTGGCTTGAATCGCTTAGGCGGTTACAGCGCCAATCAATGCTTACATATCGTTCATTTTCTTCAAAAGTGTAAAAGCTAAAAACCGCTAAACTCGTGGAAAACGGCTTTAAAGTTTTGAATTTACATATGTATACTTCCATAGTCGGCCGCTGTGGTGTAGTGGTAAGCAGTGCGCGCTTCCACTCCGCAGCACCTGGGTTCAAACCCTGGTCAAAGCAACATCGCAAAAAAATATAGAAAAAAGTTTTTTTCTTAACAGCGGTCGTCGCTCGGCAGGCAATGGCAAACCTCCGAGTGTTTTTCTGCCATGAAAAACAGCTTCTCATAAAAATACAATCCCCGTTCGGAGTCGGCGTAAAACTGTTGTTGTTGTTGTTGTAGCGGCACTACTAAGCCCCGCCTGTTTCGGGTCAACAGCGTAAAACTGTAGGTCCCTCCGCTTTGTGTGACAACATCAAGGTGCACGCCACAATTCGGAGGAGAAGCTCGGCCAAACACTAACATTTGTGTAAGCGCCAATCTATTATTTTTATTATTTATTACTATACAAATTTTGACATTTCATTTGCGAGGGTTTTAAATTGCACAGTTTGCCAGTTTGCGAGAGTTTTGCGCTTTTAAATGAGTACCCTTATTATATTAAAAAAATACTAAGCTTATGCATTATGTTAATCTACAATGCATTATGTTAATCTACAATGGAATTAAAATGGAAAATGTTCTTCAGACGCTAGTTAGTTACATTGTTTTCTTGAAGGCGACATGTTGATAATGAAATTGAATTGGCTTTCAATTTTGATGGTTTTTAACAAGTGTGTGAGGAAATTGAAAGGCAAAACTGAAGGCCCCGCCAGATAGAAACTCTTTACTGCGTCACAGGGATGATTTTGACTGACAAGACGCACATAACATGGCGAGGTGGCACAATGAAAATGTTGCCGCAAACAAAACGGCTCATTTTGATTGGCCAAAAGTCAGCTGGTTTGATTTCGTTTCATACATTGTTGTTGTGCGCGCACATGCTCGGCTTGCGGTGTATGTTGGTTGTTTGTAGGGTCGGTGTTATGCAGAAATTTTGTTTGGCAAACTGCGTGCAATTGTTGTGGCAGCAAACTCGGAGAGAGCGAGTTTGGCGACTCTCACAGCAAACTAATTTTGTTTGGTCAAACTGCAGCAAATTCGGTGTTGTCATATACAAAAATTTTAAATTTTGCGCGTTATGTACATCTGAAATTCTTATTTCGTGTTGGCAATAGCCATGAAAACCATAATGAACGTGCAACCCTGTGCCAAACTCGACATAACCACCTCCGAGCAAACTAAGCAGCCGCCATTTAATTTGGCAAACAAAAGTTTGTCTGCATAACACCGACCTAGGGCGGGTCACAAGCATGCTCGCATGGTTCGCGAGCATCGCATTGGAAACAAAAACAATAACCTCATTTTGTGTTGATGCTTGCAGTGTGCACATCGGCGCATAAATGCAGCCAAGCCATGTGCGTTATTGAATTTTTGATAAATGAGGCTAAATTACTATATATATATGTATGTGCATACATAGAAGTAAAATATAAATAAATTTAAGTAGGTCATACATAAAAAAAACCTAAGTCATAAGCATTTGAATTTCATCATCCGTGTCTTTGCTATCCATCTTTACGCTATCACGACAAAATCACATATGAGCCGCTCATCGTCTGTGGCAAACGACAGCGAGCATGTTGGCGCACATGTTCGTCGTGTGTAGGCAGTGTAATCACGTGTATCTAAAGATGTATGAAAAATACTACAATCGAGTTCTCAGAATCAATTTTTTAAATCGATTATTTCCAGAAAATCTGCGATTCTGGAGTGGAATCGGAATCGATTTTTCCATCCCTAAGCGCAGCTAGCCTGGACGAAAAGTAGATCTTTTTGTATAGGATAATTTCTGTTGAGGTTGTTTTTTAAAAAAGTTTATTTATTTCAGGCAGATTCAACTGGGAGATCATGGTTTCCCATTCGAGTGGGCATTGGCGAAAAAGTTTATACGAGAATGCTGATTACGATGATAACTATACCGATCCAAGTTTTTTGAAAGATTTGCGGACGAACTTGAACGTGCGAGTTTTCACTTTCGAGGTAGCTTTCAAGGGTGTCACTAGGCTAAATAATCAAATATCATGTGTTACATTGTTTTTGTTAATTTTTTATCTGCTTTATAGTGAGCATGTGACGCCACCCAATGTCTTGTTTACGGCTGGGTTGGCGACTTCTGTGGGATATATTTTCTATCGTGGACGCAAGCTTTTTGATCTTCAGTTCCTTTTAGAAGACTCGAAAACGTTATTGAGTGTATTAATTTTCGGTTACCTCTTTGCTCCCCTTTTACACCGTCTAACCAATGCCATTAGTACGGATACAATATTTTCGATGACATTCTTCGTCCTCCTTCTAAATCTTATTTTCTGTGACTATGGATTATCGGCGGCAATGGTTTCTAAAGCGCTGTCATTGAATGCGGCCATATTTGCAGCTATTTGTCTGGCTTCCCGTCTCTCTACAGCATTTCATGCATTTGTGTTGCTTGTCGAGGCAGCTGTATTTTTTGTACTTTATCCCATATTTATATCTTTATATTGGCAGTGGTACTTTTTGGTGCCAATTTTTGGCGTTTGTTGTGGTTTGCTTTATAGCATTTCCTTCAATGTTTTTCTTGTTTATGTCCTTTTTACGGGATTTATTAACATATTCTGTCCATATATATTTGTCATACAACAGCGCTATAAACATAATATCCACGGTCCTTGGGATGAAGCAATTGTGGAGGAAAATGTTGAAGGCTTCATTGAGAATAACTTATAAATATTGCCGCCCAGCCGGACTGAAAGTCAGCTGCTCCCCAAAGGAGCAAGTAGGGAGCAGTACAAAAGCAAAGCAGAAAAAAATAATTTCTATCAATGCTCAGAAATAAATATCATTTTGATTAGTAACATAAATTATTTTCCTTTGAAAAAAAGTTAATTTATATACAAACATGTATGTACATATGTATGTGTTTTCATATGTATACCACATAGAAAAGAAGAAAAAACCATGTTTATAAATAAGTACAAGTAGGTCTTTTTTTATGCGGTACATGCGTTCCTCAGGAAGCCGCATAAAAAAGTTCTTTGCTTTCATACAAAAACGGGATGTGTTCCAGCATTTTCAAAAACCGCATAAATTCTGATAATCCATATAAAAATTCTGAAAAACCGCATAAAAAATCCACTGAGCTAATATTCACCAAAAAAAAAAAAAACAATTTATTTCTGCACTTCAACACTTTTATTCCATGTAAAACAGAGCATTAATCAAATAAATAAAATTTTATCTGTATTTTAACCAAAAACAAAATAAAAACACCGAATAAATACATGAATTACAAAACAAATTATATATCAGAAGCATTGTCTCTTACAAACTGAAAAAAGTAATAAAAATTCGCAAAAATGCAAATTCGCTACAGCGAACTAAAATAGTTTTAAAACCCGCATAAATTCAAATCCGCATAAAAAGAGACCTTAAGTGTACACTTAACCTGTAAGAGGGAACACATTTGAGAGAGTAACTGAGCAACTGTTCCTAGTCAGAAGTTACAGGATTCAGTCCGGAGTTTCTTTTCCTGTAAGTTCATGAAAAGTGTCAAACGATCAGCTGATTTACATGTGCAAACAAAAACAGAAAGCGGTGTAAGCAAAGAACCTTATATTTGTACATAAATGCAAGTAAACAACGAAATATTTGAATATGTATAGATTTTAATA